AGGCCCAGCGTTTCGTGACGTACGAGCGCGCGACGGTGAGCGCCAGGCACCCCGCCCGCGGCATTGCGGCGGGGTGCCCGTGGGCCACCTACCTAGTACAAGTCTACACCTATCAGCCTTTTAGTGATTGGCAGGTCGAGCATCCTCGGCTCCCCCTCTCCCTTTTTATAGATGACCTTCACATCGGTGTTACGGATGACGACTCGAACGTTGTAGTCCGCGAGAAAGGAAGGTGCCTTTTCTTTGGTTAAGGTGATTGAAGATGACCTGGGTTGCTCGACTGCTCCGCGCAAGTCAATCGCCTTGGCCAATTCCGACGGACTTCGCAAGAGGCTGGCAAGAGTGCTCGGCCCCCTCGCCGGCTGCGTGGCCCCGGCTGCGAAGAACTTAGGTGTCGACCTCGCCGTCGTGTCGCCCGGCACTGCGAGAACGCATGGGCAAGCTCAAGTCGCGCAAGCGGCGTTTAGCTGCTCTGCGGAGGGCCGGCACTAACATGCGTAAATTGTTTACCACAGGCCTGGAATCTTACGGCACCTACGGTGTAGAAGTCACCGGGGTCGATGAGGCTGAAATGCGCCAGTTGCAGTCTTTCTTTCTGGCCATCGCCGGCTCCCGCGGCGACAACCGTTCTCGCTCTATTTCGCTGGCCCTACTGGAGGACCCGACGTGGCGACAAGGGCTGGCCCCGGCTCTAGTCTGGGCTAAGATTGCATGGCGTGCCCACGCAGATAGATCCGCACACAACCCTTTCCCCATGTCTCGCCTCCTCTCCCTCGCTGCCCCCATCCTGGCCAAACCCCCGAAATATTGGGGAAGCGTGCGTGGTCCACTCGCCGCTGCCATCCTCTCCCTCCGTAGGATTGGGTGGGGCATGCACGCTGCGCTTGCCTTTGTGGACCAGGCAGGCGAGCACTGGCCTCTCACCATGTTCTCCCCGAAATTCTTGGAGAGCAAAATGAAGGCAGCGTGGCAGGGTGTCCATTTGCACGTCGTTAGCCAGAAACTAGGTCTTGAGGCAGGGGCCAACGTAGATTTGTCGGTCGCCCGGCAGGTCCTCCACCGTGGGAGCCTCTCAAAGCAAGAGGCCGGCATTATGCAGTCTTTTCTGTGCCAGACTGTTTGGACAGGGCGGAAGTTGCAGCAGGCAGGTTATGAGGCGTCCTCGGTCTGTGCTTGCGGCAGCCCAACCGATTGCTTATCGCACCGCCTGCACCGCTGCCCCCTTTCGGCCCCGCTCAGAGCGGAGTGGTTGGAGCAGACAGACGTTGAGCTCATAAACGACGGGCGCAGGAATTTCCCGCTCGTCTGCGGATTCTTCGAACTCCCTGGCTTCTCCGTGAATCCACCGCGTGGGTCGGGCACCACGCCTTACCGTTTTTTCTGCGCGGGCGCCTCCCTTGCAGTGCGGGAGGCGGTTGACGGCGAAGTTTTTACAGATGGCTCTTGCCTGAAGGACGGCCCCGCGGAATTCCACATCGCGGGCTGGGCTGTCATCAAACTGACAGCTGGTGGCGACCTGTTTGCGGCCCTCTGGGGGTCCGTGGGCTCGCATTGCCCGCAGACTTCCCCGGCCGCAGAGCACGTGGCGGTTCTCGCCGCCATCGAACACTGCCCACAGGCGCAGGCCATTCATTCCGACTTTCTGGGCCTAGTCCGCTTGTCCTCTGCCCCGTGGAGCCAGGTCACATCGAGGCACCACATGCACGCAGGCATCCGCCCACAGATCCGCGCTTCGGCGACGTGGGGCCCGAATTTTCAAATCCACAAAGTCCAGGCCCACTCTGACTTGGAGGCCCTTGCCCCGCAGTCCCGCGAATGGCACCTTGCGGTGGGAAACGACTTTGCGGACACATACGCAAAGCTCGGCGCCGCGCTGCTCTCGCAGCCGTCGGAAGCGGAAAGACGGGCATATACAGATAGCGCGGCAGTTTTAAAAAGGTACCTCGGCTACGTCGCCAGAGCCTTGCTTCTGCACCCGCGCCTGGCCCCTTCGAAGAAGGCCGGGTCCTAATTCAACAAGTCACTGCGCCAGGTGGGGTTTCAAACCGGTGCGCGTTCGGCGAGAGATGCACTGCCTCACCCGCCTCCTACACCACCTCCTCTTCCGCCAGCCCAGGCGCAGGCTAAACCGCGGCCCCGAGCGATGCGAGTTCAGGCTGGGCTGGAGGCAGATGACGCGGGGCAGTATCACGAATGGAGGTGGCGGCGCCAAGGTTATTGGACCTGCCTCCATTGCCAGCGGCGCAGCACCAGAAGTCGAGCTGAGCCCGTGCCCCGCTTCAATGTCGCCCCCCGGCCGCCCCTCCCGCCGCCGCTCGAAGGACGCGCGGGGGCCTCGCCCATCCTCCGCTCCCTGTTCCATGACCAGCGTGGCCACAACCTTTTCGTGACAGAGCACCCCGCTGGCATTTTAATCATCTGCAAAGCGCGTGGCAACTACTCGGAAGGTGCGCGCGCGGTCAACTTAGAAGACAGATGCCTCCCTGCCCGAGGCTCTTGCCGAGCGGGGACCAATTGGAATAGGGCGTGCAAGGGGCAGTCCCCTAATCACCGGCGCGGGAACGGGGTGATTCTTGGCGATCTGATACCCTTCAGCACGCTGCTCGCGCTCCGTGAAGAATTGACCCCCCCTGCGATCCAGGCCCCCTCTTCCCCCCCTTCCTCTCCCGCCGCCGCCCTTCCGCCTGCTGCTGCGAGCTCTGCCATTGCCGCTGAGCACAGTCGCAATCTTGGAGTCACTGGTGCTGAAATTGATCCGCTTCTTGCCGACAGCGAAGCTGCTGACTTTTTATTCGCCTCGGGCACTGCTGAGACCAGCGCTCCTATTGCCGCCAGCTCAAGTGGGCGACCAGCGCCTGCGCCCGCCCCGCTGCCCGCTGCTGGAGCTGTTGCCCCGCCTCCTGTCCCAGAGCCTACTTGTTCGTCGGAGCGGTTGGCCCCCCGCGCGGTGAAGCAAGCTCCGGCACGGGAGGTCGACGAGGCACCGCGCGAGCCTGAGCCGACTCAGGCATCGGAAGAAGCCGTCTTCCAATCCAAGGTGCGCCGTCTTTTAAGAGCTGCGGGAGGCAGCCCTGCGGAGAGCACTGGCTAGCGCGGGCTCTGAATGGGCCGGCGCGCCGGCGGCGGACTGGCAGAGCAGCCGCGAAGGTATGATCGGGTTTCCAGAATTCGCGTGCGTTGTTTAAAGTACGCCATGTCTCACACGTTGTCATTCAGCTCCACTCGTTGCCGCCCTCCCACCATCATGCCTCGGCCTTTTGCGGCGGGCTTGCCACCAACGCAGCGCCCCCTTACCTGCATCCCCTCTCTCGCCCAAGCCAGTCCCAACCCCGCCGCCCACTTCTCCACAGGCCGCCCTCCGCCGCGATCCTGCGGGCACTCTGTTTGAAGAGTGATAACCTGTGCAGCCCCCCGTTTGAGGGGGGGCAGGGCGGCCTTTATCCAGCGGGACAAGAGAAGGTAGCCTAACGGCCGCCACTCCTGTCATTTTTTCTTCCGCCGGCACCGATTTTGGGCGCTCCGAGAAGGAAAACAGCCCAACAAGGGCGTTTTTTATGCGAGGGGGGGTTCGCCCTACCTTAAGTGTGTAGGGCAACGCTGGCCTCGGCGAAATCAAATAATAAACCACGACAGCAAGGGCAGTGAAGGTAATGTTACTCTAGACCGGCTTTTTCCCAAGGCGCGCGCCGAGGAAATGTTACTTAAGACCGGTTTTTTCCTCGATACCCGCTTCTGGGTCGACGATCAGATGGAAAACTGCTTTAACAGTTTTAACGCTGGCTGGGCCTGCATTCAGAGCTGGCAGCACGAGAGGTCATGTGGGTTTGGGCGTCCGAGTGGAAGAGGGGGGAGGGAAAGGAGGGGGAGGAGGGGGAAAAAGGGGAGGAGAGGTCATGCGCCAAGCATGGTCAGGTCCTGCCTAAACAGGGCTGCCACGTGAGGCATGCCTATATTGAGTCTAACCTCTCCTCCTCCTCACCATCATCCCGCTGGCTCCCACTGCTCGCCCCCCCTTGCGATTTTCCTCTTACCTCCTTCTCCCCCGCCCGAGGGCCGGGAGCCCGAGCCGGCGTTCGATGTGGGGCTGCTAACCAGGGCGGGTCCTCGTTAGCATCCCCCGCAAACAGGCTGCGAGTTGGGGTCTCCCCAAGCAATGGGCTCCCCATTGGCAATCCCAAATGCGGCCAACGGCCCCGAGGGACTGCCCAATGGTGGCCCGCTCGCTGTCCTGGCAGTTTGGTCAGTGATCCTCCTCTTCCTCCTCCTTCCTCTCCTCATCCTCCTTCCTCCTTCCTCCCTCCTCCCTCCTCCCTCCTCCTCTCCTCGTCCTCCTCCTCCTCCTCCACCTCCTCCTCGTCCTCCTCCTCCTCCTTCCCCTCCTCCTC